TTTAAAATATATTAAAAATGTTATCCAGAGGTTCACTAATTTGGTGGTAAATGGGATTTTTTTTCTTGGTTGAGAAATTAGAGAAAGAAAGTAAAATTGCACTTAAACTACATTTGCTTTCTGGTCAGCTCTTCTCACACAGCTTCAATTATGGGTTGTGGAGGAATCAGGACTATTTATTTCTCCTCCATCATTTTCTGGGAATTTGTTTATTTATTCATTTATGCATTTATTCATCTTGCTGGAGGTTTTTTAAGTATATTACTTTCTTTCTGGGGTTTCAGTTATTTTGCAGGTCATTTATTCTCCACTCTGCTCCAAAGTGGTCAAACTTCTTATGGGATTCTCTATGCAGAGTTTCATTCCCGTCTTGGCTGGATAGCTCTGATGCCCCCTCCTTCTAGGAGTCCCAGACCCTGTTCTGGGGTGAGGAGAGTGGAATGCTTCAGTCTATCCTCCAGTCCTTTATAGTCTCTAAAGAGATGACTCATGGATCATCAAATTTGGTTTACATTTAATTAGTCTCGGTCCCCACACCCCTGGTATCAGCCAGGCTTCTTAGCCCAGAGCTTAGATCACCTGTTTCAAGTGAAAGAGTCCTTCATTCTTCTTAGCTTTGTCAACTCAATTTTCTGGTGCTTAAGTTCTGTTTTATATCACTCTTTGGGAGCTTCTATTATAATAATGTGGCTTCCTCTGAATCATTTTATTCCATTCTCCAAAGGATAAACTACATGGATTACAAGAATATTAAGAATATAGTTCATGGGACTGGGGTTGTAGCTCAGTGGTAGAGTGCTTGCCTAGCATGTATGAGGCATTGGGTTCAATTCTCAGCATCATATACAAATGAATAAAATAAAAGTTAATGAAAAAAAATATATGGAAGAATATAGTTCATTAAGAGTAAAAAGGCTGGGGTATAAAGGCAAAAGGACAGTTGTGATATTCAAAAGTTAAGAGGAGAGAAAGTGGAATAAAGGTAGTACATAAAGGTCCTGAAGAGGGAGAAACTGAAGAAGTAGAGGAAAGAGAACTGGATATTTTGCTATCAGAGGGAGAGGTGAGGAGAAAAAGTGTAATAAAGCAAGTGAACAAATAGAGCAAAACCACAACAACCTCCCCAAACCAAACAAAAACACTAAAAATACAAAAAAGCAATTACTACCTTTTAGAAAAATGTAATCAAACAGTAAAATACTAATAAAAGGAAAAGAAATGATAAAATAGGAGGGAAACAGAAGTGTGTGTGTGTGTGTGTGTGTGTGTGTATGTGCATATGTGTATAACAAATCAGCAAATATAACCAGAACCATAGCTTTGTTGACTCAATTTTCTAGTGCTAAACTACTGCTTTAAATCACTCTTGGGGAGCTGCTATTATAATAATGTGGTTTCCTCTTGATCATTTTATTAAATGATTTATTAAATTTTTTATCAAATAATTTATAATTTTATTAAATCATTTATCAAATATAACTAGAACCAGATCTAGTTTTCTTTTCTCAACCTCTTCACTTTCTCCCTCTCTAGGGTCTTCATGTACTACCTTTATTCCACTTTTTTTCCTCTTACTTTTTTGAATGTCCCAACTTTCCTTTTGCCTTTATACACCAGCTTTTTTTTTTTTTTACTGTTAATGAACTCTATTCTTTCTCATATATATAAAACAAGAAAAAGAAAAATTCTTAACTAAAAATGCTAGGATTTTTTCATTGAGGTGGTTGAAGTTGTGAATATTTTCATCTTATCCCAAACTGTCCTTCTGTCACCTACTTCTTGTGCTAAATGCCCCTTAGAGACAGCAAGGACAGGATGTTATTAAACCCATCCTCCCTTTGTGATTTTCAATACTCTTCATGTTGGAGTGGCATAGAGGTGTAGCTGTCTGAAATTGCTCTCAGCTTCTCTACTCACCAGTACCAGGGGAATGGTACTGAAAGTATCTTCTGTTGGGGTTTTGTGCAGACATCTTAGATTACTGGTTGGAAACAGTGGAGAGATCTATTAGGGAAGTTTTGACTGCTTGATTTGAGCTCTAAAGGGAACTTTGAACTTTTGTTTGGGGTATCTACTCTGGAGCAATTAAATCTAGGGCTGACTAGATGCCTATCTTGGGGCCATCTGGGTTTCTAGAGTCTTCTCAGAGTTCTACTGATATGGTGAGGTAACCCACTACTGTGGGTGGATGGTGCACAGCAGATTTCCTGTGCCCCCCTGCTACAAAATATGAACTTCTAAGTCTCTGTCCCTGAATATAATCACACCCACCTATTCAATTTCTCTACTCCTTATCATATAGTCATTTGCACCACAGAGCTCAAAGAGAGAACGGCTTGCATTCTCCTCTGTATCTCTGTCTTGAATCCCTCTGGATTCATTATTCTCTATAACGGTTTCGTTACTGTGATTTGCCAGGTGTACTTTAGGTCATGCAGTAAGCACGGGCTGAGAAACTATGGAAGTATTTGCTTAGGACTTTTGGTTTTGAAGGAAGAAGATTCAGCATAAACTCTTAGAGCTAGATCTCCACTTCAGTTCTTCACTTACAAGTTGAGAAACACGGAGCACATTTTGAACCCCAGATTCATGTGCAAGTTCAGAGTAACTTCTACAGGTGGTTATTTGCCAAATTTGCCCGCTATGCTTCTGTTTCCCTTTGTGTTGCCCTCCACCTCCTTGCAGAGACACAGAACCACCGCTGCTCCCCGCTCGGGAGTATTCCTTTCTATTCTCTGTTCACAACACAAGAATGGACTTCTCCAAATCTCTGACACACAAATATTGATATATAATAATTTTATTCAGACATCTTGTTATGAAGCAGTATTTCTGTGATTTCAATTCCAAACAGCAAAGCAAGTGGAAAGTGCCTCCTTCCTATACTCCACCATCTTGGAGCCCCAGCCTTAGAGATTTTGAAGATATAACTATTGTGTTTGAATCTCCACATAAATTCTCTGTAGTAAAACACTTTTAAAAATGAAAACTTATTGATATTTTTCTATGTGACTAAATGAGCAATCATTTGTACAGATAGGACATGTAGGTTATGTTGATGTAATAAACTTTCCAAAGTGCTGGTTAACTTCATCTGGTGCTTTTCTAATTTTCTATTATGTTGCACTCCAGATGTACAAGTCTTTTACCACTGTGTAAGCAGGAAAATGACTCTCACAGTCTCAGTAAATTGAGAAGGAGGCTTTTTTTAAACCTCAGGCAATTAAAATAGATTGGCCTTTGCAGTTATACCATTGACCTTTTCTCTGAGTCTACTCAATTGGCAGTGAAATATTTCTTCCAAGTACTCTGGTTGTGCTGGTCATCAAACTTAAAACCTATATAGCAAGTATCATTCATAGATTATATATTGTCTAATTTTATTTTCACACAATGTACTATATGTTGATATTGTTCTGTAAAAATAGCTTAGTCAAAGTAAATTTATTTTCCAATTCTGGCTGTAGATTGCAGTTTGGCCACCTACCATCTGACAGTCTATTAACTAAACTATTGAGAATTGAATAATATATGAATCTATAAGGTTTTGAAAAGATAAAGCAATCAATAATGACATAGTAAAAAAACAGCACAGTCCTCTCTTAATACAAAATACTAAGTGTTTCAGTTCAATAATCACAAGTCCTATGCCATAACTGCTTACCTTTGCAGTATTTGCAGAAGTCAAATACTTTCATATTTATACTTTACAGTAAATTAACTCCACGGAAGTTACTGAGTTTGATGTATTCTCTCTTGGGAAAAGAAGCAAGGATAAGGCAAGACATACACTATTGTTATTTGATTCACTACCAAGATGTTAAGTGATTGCTATACCACAGACCAACTTATGCCTACTGGAGATTCAGGAGAAAAGATCCCTTCTCCTCACAAGGAGCTCACTCTTTGTTAGGGAAGACATGTTGTACTGCTATGGCAGGAAATCTGATGCATTCTTACAAATTCTTCCATTGCAAGAAGCTTGGTCTTGAGAAATTTGCTTGTTTACCATCCTTGATTAGGAAAGGAACCAATAAAAACAATCTCAAGCAATATTTTATTCATAGCTGTGAAAATAAAGTTTAAAAACTAACCAACCCAGGGCTGGAGCTGGAACTCCGTGGAAAAGCGCTTGCCTAGCATGCTGAGGTACTGGGTTCGATCCTCAGCACCACATAAAAATTAACAAAATAAAGCATTCTGTCCATCTACAACTACAAAAAAAACCAAAACAAAACAAACAAACAAAAATACCAAACTAACCAACACAAATGAGAAGAAGGGCGTTCCTTTTGAAAAAAATGGCAAATGCAGCAAAGTGAGCACCATCCTAGACATAAACATACCAGGAGTTTGAAAGAGTGGAAATGAGGAGTTATTTTTTAATAAGTATAAAGTTTCAATTAAGATGAAAGAGACTCCTGGGACTGGAAATGTAGTCAGTGATAGGGCATTTTTCTAGCATGTATGAGGCACTGGATTCGATCTCCAGCACCACTAAAGAAAAAGAAAAGTTCTGGAGAGATAGTACAAATAGGTGCACAAAAATATAAATTAAAAATGTGCAACTAATAATGGTTAAGTTGGTAAATTCTATGTTATGTATATTTTTACCATGATTTTTTAAAATTGGGAAAAAAAGAAATAAGCGCAGTGTGTTTGTTCTGGAAGTCTTTTTCCAAGAGATAATAAAAAACTCTCACTAGAGAGAAAAAAGAAACACGGAAAAATATTCAAAATGTCAAAATAGTTTAAGTAAATTATTCATTAAACTATAAACAAAAGTATAGATATTCTAGTAAAGTCATTAATAAAACAATTTATAATAGTATACTATAGAGACCCTGAGATAATGATATGAAGTTTTTTTTCTTTTTCCTTTTTCTTTTGCAGTGCTAGGAATTGAGCATGCAGGCATGTACTCTGCCACTGAGCTACACCCTCAGACCTAAGGTTAATATTTCAACAGCGTTGATACACCTTTCTTATTTGCCTTTTCAACTTGCCCCATGAGGGCAAGAATTTTTTGTCTTTTTTTATTCATTACTGTATCCTCAATGTATAAAACAGTGATCAACACACAGTCAGGACAGTTTATTGGATACATGGAGGTCTTGTGTGTGTGTGTGTGTGTGTGTGTGTGTGTGTGTCTGTGTGCTCTTTGTTCTAAATTCTGGATGTAAAGTGTTATGCTAGGGTGTGTAGGTAGGTCCAAAAAGAGGGGTATCAGCATAATTAAAAGGGTAAATTAAGGAGGTTAGTTTCAGACAGGATCTGATTTTCATCTCCAGTGCACATTTCATGGATCCACCATAGCAGAGGTGAAGTGATTCCAGCCAAAGTTTATGAAGTGGATGTCTTGGGCCTTGAACCAGGTAAAGAACTGGTCAGATACTCAGAAGGGTCTGCAGTGAAAGTAGGAATTCAAGGAAGGCCAAGAAGCATTGGCAGGGGTGGATTTAGACCCTGATGAAGCCAAGAAGAAATGATTGGGAAATTATCATTATCGGACATGAGTAGCTTAACCATGAGCAGGATGTACTTCTGGTGGTGCTCACCCCTGAACAATGACCAGTTCATTGGTGTTCAAGTGAGACGGCTCTGAGTTGCAGGCACCACCTTAGAAGAAGCAAGGAGGGGAAGGGGTATCAAAAGGATAGAACAGTTATTTCAAATGGGGTTAATAAGATTATTTTAACAACATGATCAAAATTAATTTTAAAACAGATTAGACTGAAATTTGTTTTCTATGCTTGCCTAGCAAGTGGGGGAATGATAATGGTGATCAGGGAAATTTTTAAGAAAAAATATACTTATCTTAGTATATCTAAGCAGTGTAAATAATTTTGTAACTCTGCCATCCAGAGATAGAAAACATTGTCCCTGTCTCAGAGACTGTGCTGGAAAAAGGAGAAAATTAAAAGATAATTCTAATACAATATTATATCACATATCCTACACCAAAGAAGCTTAAAAGAGCACCAAACTCATCAGATAGCAGGCAAGGTAGGCGAAGAGCTCCTGCCAGTGATGTTCTGAGGCATTGAATTGAAGCAGAGCCAGAATGTCCCCAGAAGCAAGGGATATTCACTCTTGACCCACCCACAAAGAAAGTCAGTGACATTCCAATCCAGTTTACAAGGCCTTTATTGCTACCTGGCCATAGGAATAACATCTGTGCCCCCAGATGTAAAGTTTATGGAACAGAATCATTGAGAATGCAAAGTCACATTCATCCATCCACTTGCTCACTATGTGTCTGTCAACAAGTTACTTGTACCTTGGAACTCAGTTTCCTTCTCTTTAAATTATGGGTAATAATAGTGTTTGTTTGGGGTACTAAGTTCATTCATCTAAAGAGCTTAGAATAGTTCTTGTCACCTCTTCAATGCTCATTCAAAATTAGCTGTTATTCAGTACTTGTAGGACACATATTGATTTCCAAAACATTTCATACTTTTTTTTCCAATCCTGAGAAGATCAATAATATATATTGATCAATAATATATATATATATATTAAGAACTAATGCACAAAAGAAGTTTAAAAGACTTACATGATAACAGAGGAAGATACCTTTCCCTATTTCTTATTTTCTTTGAATGGAGAGATTCCCTAACCATATCCTGGATTCTCTACTTTTTAACTTCCTCCATTACTGGGGAAGCAGTGTGATTTATCTGGTTGTTAAATTTAGGAAGAAAACTATGTGAGATTGGCTCCCCTCCCTCCTTGTTCTTGGGAGTGAGCATGCAGCAAGCATGATTCCCCCAGTCCTTCTGTGACTGTGAGACAAAGCTGGCCCAGTTCAAGGGTTCAGTTTTAGCGAACACATTTGGCTGACAGATGCAAAGCAGCATTCTACAACAGGACTGTGTGTGTGTGTGTGTGTGTGTGTGTGTGTGTATTTTCTTTTCTCTGAGTCCAAAATTGATTAACCATGAAATTTTCCAACAGAAAACAATATGAGTTGTTTTTAAAACACCTCTGCATGTGGCCACACACATCAAAGAATCACTTTTCTTTTTTTTCTATTTTTCTTGGAGACATTTCTCACAGAGACTTCCATCCTCCTCCTGAAAACTGTATCACTTTGATGACAATTCAAATTTTAAAATGAAGAAAAATGCGTGCAAACTGTGGCAGAGACTATTAGTTGTCTGCCAAAATCAATTTTCTCTTTCCATAACAACAAAACCCAGGCTTCAGCTAGTCTCATTACTGCCTAGATAAAGACTACACTTGAGTGTACATTGTATGTAAGTTTGGTTAATGAGATACAAGAAGAAATGTTATAAAGTATTTCCAGGATTCTCCTTAAAGGAAGGAAGTTCACCCATTTCTCATCCTCCATCCTGCTGCCTGAACATAGCTATGATAGTGGGAGCTCAGGCAGCCATATTATACAATTAAGATGAGGTCCCCACAATGAAAGAGAGAAAAGTATGAGGTATTGCAGGAAGCAGTGATTTGAATCATGGTTTCTGACTGTCCCACAGCAGCATATGGACATGCACTGGGAACTTCCTGTGTAAAGTGCAGGTCGAGAATGCCCAGTTGCTATAGTGACTCCCTGCTTAAAAGAGGTTCTGTGAAAGGCACAGGACTATTAGTATTGACCCTGAGTTCAGATACCAGCTGTCAGGGGTAGAGAATTATTAGCACAAGTAGATAATTATAATTGGCTTTGTCCTTTAGTCTGCCTGCTCTAAAGAAACTTTCTTACAGAAAACCCTTTGATGATAAAATCCATATAATAAATGTAACGCAGAGATAAACTAGCTCTGGGCCATTGTTCCTCTATCAGAGGATGATGTCCCACCTGGTCCCAGTTTTCTTTGTGTATGTGTGTCTGTTTGTCTTTTCTAATCCCCCATCGTCCATTGCTGATTTCTGAGTCAACAGCGGTTCAGGTCACAGCAAGGTAGACCCTGATAGCTTCAAATCTGCCTTACCAATTTTGAAACACTTATCTCTGGACTTACAAGTGGGATAAAAATAAACATATCTTTTATTTAAGTCATTAACAAATGGTGCTAAGAAAACTGGATATCCATATGTAAAAACCTAAAAAACTGGATATCCATCTGAGAAATGGTTGAACTTCCTTCCTTTAAGGAGAATCCTGGAAATACTATATAACATTTCTTCTTGTACCTCACCTGCACAAAAGTCAACTCATAATGAACCAGAGACCAAGAAATAAGACTAGAAACTTTGCAACTACTAGAAAAGAACATAGGGAAAATGGTCCAATATGTAGGCTTAGGCAGCAACTTCCTCAGTAGGACTCTTATAGTTCAGGAAGTACTACCAAGAATCAAGAAATGGGATGGCATAAAACTAAAAAGCTGTTTTTTTTTCCACTGTAAATTTTTGGCATCTTTGTCAAGAATAAGATTACTAGCTGTGTGGGTTTGTTTCAGTGCTTCTCTTTTGTTCCATTATACTGTATGTCTATACAAAGTTTTTTTTTTTTTTAATATTGCTTTGTAGTACAATTTGAATTTGGGTAGTATGATGCCTCCAGCTTTACTATTTTTTGCTCAGAATTGCTTTGGCTATTCTGGGTCTTTTGTTCTTGCATACTTTTTTTTTTCTTTTCTTTTTTTTTCTTGGTACCAGGGATTGAACCTAGGGGTGCTTAACCACTGAGCAACATCCCCAGTTCTTTTTATTTTTTTAATTTGGAGACAGATTCTGTCTAAGTTGCTTAGAGCCTCACTAAGTTGCTGAGCTGACCTTGAACTTGTGTTCTTCCTGCTTCAGCCTCCTGAGTCGTTGGGATTATAGGCATGTACCACCATGCCTGGCTTGGTCTTCCATATACATTTTAGTATTATTTTTTTAGTTCTATGAATAATGTCACTGGTATTTTTAAAATATTGTTTTAGTTGTCAATGAACTTTATTTTGTTTATTTATATGCAGTGCTGAGAATCAAACCCAGTGCCCCACACATGTTAGGCAAGCACCCTACCATGAGCCATAATCCCAGCTCCAATATCACTGGTATTTTGATGGGGATTTTATCATCAAAGGGTTTTCTGTGAGAAAGTTCAGAGCAAAATCTGTATTGCATTGGATCTGTAGTAGGTACTATTTTTATTCCCATTTTATAGTTGAAAAAATTAATTAAAAAGAGATTGAGTACCTTTCAAAGCTTCTCAGTGGCAAAGCTGGAAATAAAACCCAGGCACTATTTCTCAATAATAAATTACAGTTTTGCACAGCAGGCATTCCAGGGCAATCACTTTCAAACATTTTTTAACCATGATATCCAGTAGGAATCATAACTCAATACATCAAAATTAAGAAATAGAAAGTGATGTTTTATGAAATAATACTTTTACCAGATCTAATTCATTAATATATTCTTTATTTCATTCTAAAAATTGCTGATTACAGCTAATAAATTGTTTTTACAAGTCTCCAACGAATTTGAAAAACAATAATTTGGAGGCCAGGGATACAAATGTTAAATTGATATCTCTTCTAGGATGTTTAATCATGCTCTCAAGTTTACTGTCTACAAACTCCTGATTTCATTAACTACTCTTACCCCTTCCCTTTATTCTTCCTCTCTAAAAAAATGGCAACTTCTGTACTGTCCACATGGTAGCAACTAGCCACATGAAGCTATTGAGCCCATGATATGTGGCTGTTGGAACTGAGACATGCTAGAAGTATAAGGTGCAAACACGACTGTGAAGACTTAATATGAAAAAAGAACATAAAACATCTCATCAGTAACTTTTTATATTGATTATTTGTTGAAATAATGACTTAGACATAGTGTTAATATATGTTACTAATACGAAAATTTCACCCATTTTTTAAAGTGACAACTTGAAAATTTTCAATTACACTCAAGATTTCTGTTGAACAGTGCTTGTTATGGTTGTTTTCATAGATTATAAACCTTGGAATCATAGTTGACACCTTTCTCTCGAGTAAATCCTGCCCTCCAAAATAGAAAGTAGAATTCAACAACTTCTCACAGCTACACCTTTATCCCAAAACTTAAACATGTGTACACCACTTTCTCTTTCTTGGATAATTGAAATATGTTGTAACTGTTCTCCTTACAGTCCTTCTTTGCTACCCTCTTCAGTTTATTCAGCTGTTCCCCACAAAGTTGCAGAGTGATATTTTTACAAATTGTGTGTGTGCTGCTGGGAATTGAACCCAGGTCTTGTGTGTGTAATGCAAGCACTCTACCATCTGAGCTATATCCCCAGGCCTCAGAGTGATACTTTTAAAGGGTCACTCCTCTATTCAGAATCCTTCAGTGGCTCTTTTTCCCAGAGTAAAAGCCTAAGTCCTTAGAATGGCCTGCAAAGCCTTACAAGATTTGATGACCTACCCCACCCCATCTTCTATGATTTGGTTGAATGTCCTCCAAATGCTCATGTGTTGATTACTGGGCCCCCAGCCTGCAACACTATTAGGTGGGACCTCTAAGAGGCAAGTCTAATTGGAAATCTCCCAGTTATATGGGGGCATATGCTTGAAGGGGATGCACAAGGTCCTGGATTCAATCCCCAGCACCACACACACACACACAAAGTTGATTAACAAAAACACCTCAGCATCCTTTTTGGACCTACAAAACTGTAATTTCACAGTAAAATAAGATTCTTATCATACCTGGTTAACTTAATCCCAACCTTTTGTCCATTTTCTCATGACCATTAGGTGTTCTTGAAAAACTCTGAAAGATGGATTTTCCTTTTTCCTCAGGCATAAAATCTTCTTAGGCATCTACACAGAGTCCAGAAATTCTGGTGTAAAATATGTGCAGCTTAATCTCAAGATGATCATCTGGTACAACCGGATGTTGTAAATACAAGCAGTATTCATCCTCTCTATTGTAGACTGGCCACACTTCACCCACCTAGTCCAGTGTTTGCATTCAGGAAGATGTTCCCTGCTAGGATATGATTTTTTGTTTGTTGTTTTTGTTGTTGTGGGGTCTTGTTTTGTTTTGAGCTGGTCTCACTGAGTTGCTGATCCTGGCCTCAAACTTGCAATTCTCCTGCCTGAGCTTCCTGAATAGATGGGTTACACAGATGGAGCCCAGTAAGGATGGGCACCTGTTGGATGGTATGTCAGAGACTGTAGCCAGGTTCCTTATTTTAGACCCAGGGAAATCAAGGCTACGAGAACTTAGGCATGTTTTTTTGGGGAAAAAAAAAAAAAAAAAACAGGAAACACACAGTGGTAGAAAAGGCATGGGAAGCCACATTGCTTGGCCCCCAGCATTCATCCCTTTCCACGAAAACATCCTACTGGACAGTTCAATCTAATTCGTAGCCTGGAACCACAGAATTTTAAGTTCACAGGCTGTGGCACCCACGCCGCCACACCTCCGCTAAAGGCGGCAGAAATAGCGGTTCCCAGCTTGGGCCCGCTGCAGCCGCTTGGGAAGCCGGCTTCTCGCAGCCTGAAACTCCGCAGTGAACACATTCTCGCGAGACTAGCGGTCTGGGCTAGTGGGCCTGGAGGTTCCCGGAAGTGGACGAGAGGCAGGTCCACTCCCACCTAAGCCAGTGCACGCCTCACCGGGTCGAATCTGGGCCTCCGGGGGATCCGCGCGAGGCGGAGTCTCGGAGACGCTCCCCGCTGGTCTCCGGGTGCTGGCGCCACCTCCCCTCCCTTTGCCCTTCACCGCGCCCTGCCCTCCCTGGGCTGCGGCGTTTGTCCACGGCTGGGCAGCCGGCCTGTCCCCTTTAGCTTGCGTTCCCGTGCCCTCCCCCGAATAGCGCCAGACCCGGGGTTTCCCAGATGCCGCCTGTATAACTTGCTCACCGTAAGTGCTAGGAATGCTGCTGGCCTCCCGGAGAAATGCATTCTTTCTATCTATAGCTCTCTCTGTCCATCCTATGTCTATTACAGCTATTCCAGGGGCGACAACTGCTTTCCTCTGTTCTCATCTCCCCATTGGTGGCTTCTGACCCGAATTTGGGAATGGGGCGATCTCCCACCTGTTATCTTTGAGCAGACTAATCTCCTGTAAGCAGAAGTGCCATTTGGAGACTTGACAGCCTTTTGGCCTGAGACCGGGGAATTTTTCCCCTTGARCTCCAGGCTTTCTTAAATAGTATCGCTTTTCTCTGAGAATGCTTTAAGCTTGTTTGGTTTTGTTATGTTTTATTTGTAAGAATTGACAATACAGTATATTTGCTTCAGTCTTCCTCATTGTGCTTTAAGGGAAGAGAAAACAATTTGCCTTCTCGGATCTTCTTTATAAAATTCCTTCTTTCTCATTGCTCTGCTAGAGTTAAACCACATTTGGAACATGTAAGTGCAGCTAGCTGTCAGCCCTGGAGAGTTTAAGGTAATAGTTATTTTCTTTTTTGTAATTCCTTTTTTTGTGTGTCACAGGGGTAACTCATTTGATTTTGGAGTTCCTTTAATTCTTCTGAAAGATTTCAAAGCCTCCAGAATCCAAAATGGGACACGGTAAACAGATTAGAATTTTACTACTAAACGAAATGGAAAAGCTGGAAAAGACCCTCTTCAGACTTGAACAAGGTCAGTAGCAAGTTGTTTGAATAGCTCCTTTGTGTCTTTTAAATTTTAACTCATTAAAGGGCAATTAAAAATTTTATTGGTTCTTCTTAGTTATACAATTTAAAATTTTTAAAACTTTATGTTAGGGACTGGGATGATGTCTAAAGTAGTAGAGCTTGAGCTTGACATGAGTAACGCCTTAGGTTCAATCCCCAGCTCCAAACAATAAAACTTTGAGTTAGATACAGTTTTCTAGGATCTTTATTCTTCAGATTAAACTAATTATAATTGATTTTAGTTAAAAGTGTTTTATATCTGTTATGTAAGAACAAGGATAAAATAGGTCAATTTTCCTTCTGTGCAAACTCCCACATTAATGACCACATTATTTCTGATAGCATTTCTTATTAAAACTTAGTGAAAATACTTTATATATATTTTTGCTGAGTATATCTGTAACTTTGGTTTTTTATAGCTCACTCTTTTCCTTTACTGAACCTCTGAATTAGTAGAGTACAGCAAAAATATAATAAACTATTTTTTATATTAATCAAAATGCTCTCAAATTTGGGGAAGATAAAATCTGAAAATAGTTTCTTGCCAAATAAAAAAATAGCCAATGAAATTATGCTGATATAGTTAAGCTGTGATTTAAAAGATCAAATTGTGTTTCTATAAAACAGATTCATAGATGCCGTATTTTCTTAGGTTTTGTAATTTTTCAACATTGAAAAACTTTCCACAGTGATTTTATGTAATATAATTTGTGAAATAGAAATTGAATATATGAAAAATAAATACAGCTCCCCCTTACTGGTGTACCAAATGGACAATGATAATCATTTTGAAGAAATTTTGTTATATCTATAATATTTGAAGAATTAAATTTTATTTTTCTTTGAATTTCAGCCATCTCATGTGTTACCTCCAATGCCAACCCTCCTCTTCTTCCAACTTGGTGTGGCACTTAAGATCACCAAGTACTTACTCCATTTTTGGCTTTCCTGACTCTGCACTTTTCTGGTTTTGACTATTTTTTCCTCTTTACCCTCTTAATATTCCTGTCAACTTAATGTGTCTCACTGGACTCCCTTCTACATTTTAAATAATTGCAAGTATCTGCTAGGAATCCTTTTTTTCTGTTCCCCTAGCCTCAAAGAATTATGCATTCTTACTGCCTCAGCTGTTTCCTCTGTGCCAAGAACTCCTTAAAAGAGGTCCTTGAGCTTTGCTTTCTTCATGGAAGCTTTTGAGTACAGTGTAATGACAAGTGTAAGGAATCAGCATTTTCCTGGCTCTGCTGCTAACAAAATTATGTGGTTTTCTTCAAGTTACATTTTTAGCATTAATTCCTCTATTTGTGAAATAAAGATATTCTGCCCTTCTACAGAAGGGCAGTTAATAAATACTTGCTGATCGATCACTACAACTCTGATTAAATGTACCAAAACTTGGCAAATTCAGCTAACCTGTTTGAAGAGGGAACTGTGAAGTTCTTATGAAATAAGAATGATGTGGTTGACTTTGTAACTCTAGTTAAAAAACAGTAATTTCGTCCAAATGCTATGAATGGGAATATGTCACTTTTTTTGTAGTGATCATATTATTTTAGAAGACAATTTGTAATGTGAAGGATGAATTAAAGAGAGGGAACACTGGGACTAGAAATAATCCAGAAGGCTCTTTTAAAAAACCTGTCTGGGGGTTGGGGTTGTAGGTCAATGGTAGAGTGCTTGCCTAGCCCATGTGAGGCATTGGGTTTGATACTCAGTATAAAAGTATTGTGTCCATCTACAATTAAAAAAAAAGCTTAAAAATGGTATCTGGTTAAAGATAAGGATTCAACAATGTCAGAGTTGCAAAGGGGGAAAGAATGAGACATTTTAAAATGCATAGGACTTAGTAACCAGTTAGAGTGAAAAAACTGGGAATTTTTAGTTTTTTCATAGTTAATTGACACACAACCAAACCCTTCTTCATTTTTCTTTTCTTTTTTCCCTAAAAGAATTTATCTTCATTTTCAAGACTGACATCTCTGTAGATTCTTTTAATTCAACAAGTAGAAGACTGAATAATTATTTTCTAGCCAAAGCATGAGTCTTTCTATTTTATTTATCTCACTTAGTAGCAGAATAATGAACATAATAAGTATTCTCCATATTTGGAATTCTTCCATCTATTATATAGGTTGGTCAAATTTATCATTTTTCTTCTTTAAGAAAATATAAACATTTTATATTTTATATATAAACATTCTTTGTTTAGGAGCTTCAGTTTCTATAAATCATGTGGAGGGAAAAATTTCCATTTACAATAATACTTTATCACTCATCTTGCTAGCTGTCTCCAGGAGGGATATGTATTGCCTATGTCTGCAAATCTGTAATATGTATTGCAAATCTGAATAAAGTATTCCTAGTTTTAGCATGAGAAATAAGATAGCCACGCTATGTCCTGCAGTGATCTAAGTCAATTTTAGCATGATGATGATTAATTATGGAATCTGGCATAGGCCAGGTATTCTAGTGTTTCATTTACTGTACATAAAAATTTTAGTTTCTATGACTTGGATTAGAGGTTTAGAGTGTCTTGTATACACTGATCTATGTATTGGGACACAGAAAGACAACATAGACTATTACTTTTTCTTCTTTCTTTCTTGCTTGCGTGCTTGCTTTTCTTTCTGTTTTAATTCTTTAAAAGTAACCCAAGCTGGGTGCAGTGGCACACACCTGTAATCCCAGTGATTTGAGAGGCTGAGGCAGGAGAATTTCAGGTTTGTGGTCAGCATCAGCAACTTAACAAGACCCTCAGCAACTTAGAGAGAACCTGTCTCAAAATAAAAATAAAAATTAAAAGCACTGGGGATGTGACTTAGTGGTAAAGTACTCCTGGGTCCAATCCCCAGTACCAAAATAAAAGTGTTTAATTTTGCTAATATATGAACTAATATTAACACTCCCAGTTTCTGTCAGATAAGTTAAAAAATAAACAAACAAAAAACATTATGAGGAAAGAATTGAGGTCATAGGTCTGGGGGCACTTCCAATCAAACCCTTGTTTTTTTCAGTATGTTGCCATGGATTACATACATACTTAAGTCAAGTTAAGTAGATAAACAAGTTATATTATGTTAAATAATAGGGGTTAGGAATGTAATTCAGTGGTTGGGAGCTTGCCTAGCATATGTGAAGCTCCAGGTTCAATGCCCAACACAACAAACACAAAACAAAACAATCTTTCCAAAACTCTGAAACAAGAGAAAGAATAACCAGAAATGACTCTTTTACTCTACTGAAGTTGGGAAAGATGAGTTACAAACTGTTTAAGTGTTTGAGACTTGCCCTTTGAGATTCTGTGTTTTCAGGAATGACAAGTAGCCTTCTAATATGAAACTTAGAAAATGTCAGAAAAAAATAAAAAGCATTTATCTTTTTCAGATACACAAAGGATAAAGTTAATTGCTTTACTGAAGGAAATTGATACTGTGGAGCAGAGTTTGGCACACTTTTTCCCCATAAACTTTCAGATAGCAAATCTTTTCAGCTTTGTAGGTTATGCACCGTTGGAGCTAATGAACTATGCCATTGTAACCCGAAAGCAGACATAGGCAATGAATAGGTATCACTGTGTTCAATGAAACTTGATTTATAGAAACAATTTACAGTATGTCCAGTTCAGTATCTAGACATACTTTCCTTTCTGTAGCAAAAGTGTTTGAATATATATTTTAGAAATGCTTCCATCATTGTGTGATTTTTACCCATGCGAAGGAACACATGCCCACTTTAAAAAATTGATAATCAATTTTCCTTTGTGTTTAAAATCTTCCACATAAAAGTTTTCAATTGGTTTTCACATCATTAGTTTATTATAGTCATGCCTCAGAATTTTGTGTGATTAGCTTATAAAACCAATTGCTGATGTCAGAGAAAATATAAATTCACTAGCATTTCAGCAAAAATCTTTATACAGTTGGTGAATGTGATTAAAGATTAATATCATGGGGCCAGGGTTTTGGCTTCTGAGTGCCACATAAATAAATAAAATAATGGTATTGTGTCCATCTACAGTTGAGAAAAAAGATTAATATATGGTTTAATGAACACAGCACTAAGATTGTCTTTTATTTGTATTTGGATACCATTGTACAATATTTTTTCCACCTTTGAGGCCATTAAAACCACTTATCAAAATATAGAACTTTGAACTTTGAATCACTTTATCACAGAATATTAAAGGCCTTTAAAAATAATGAAATTTATTTAATCACATCGTTTTCACTGACAATATCAATATTAGTTTTTACTGAGAGTTGAAAGACTTCCACTTATTAATAAATAAAATTAGTTATTAAAAAGTGTTTATTTCATTTATATCTTATTCTTTTAATTTTTCTCTGGTGTTACACAATTTACATAGTTTATTGAATTTACATGTACATTATATAAATACTCATTTTGGGAATGCTTGTCTTTTTTTCTGAAGTTAGACTATTTATTCAAATACTGTTTTAAAGATGTTAGATGAGTTTTAACCTTTGTACTGCAAGTTCTCTGAGTCTTTGTGTAATTAGAAAAACAATATTTGTATAAATGTAATGGGTGGCAGTTTGTTTAAATATGTCCAATTGGCTAGTCTCTGATATTTGCACATGCTTAAAATGTCACCATTTTCCCTGATGATAAATGTAATCATTCTTGTAAAGGTATATAGATGATTCTCATAGACACTAAGTATTTTATTTCATGTTTTAATTCTACATGCAACTATTTCTTAATCTATTCTTTTATATTGTAGCTCTAATGACTTTCACCAATTATAAGAATGTATAAAAAAGACATTTTTTTCCTGTGCTTTTTGTTTAAAAATATTGAGATCATACTGTTTAAACAATTTTGTAACTGCTTTCCCCCCTACTGCTTAAAATGTTATTGAGTGTATATTACCTTCCTTACTACCTTGTTTCAGCCATACTTTTTCCTAGAAAGGATTTCAGATACATAAAATTTAACAAAGTA